AAGAGATTGCTAAATCTAAAATCTTAAGTAATGATAGTTCATTAAATAGTCTTGGTTTTAACTCTCTTCTCTTAAATACTGAAGGTGAATAAAAATTTCATTATTAATTAGTTAGAAATTATTATTATTAATTTGATCAATTAATAAACGTTAGATTCTAGTAATAATAGTAAAAGGAAGAATTGATGAACAACTAATATAAATTTATCTATTATAGTTATATATCTTTTTATTTTATCCTTATTTCGTTTTTAAAGCTAAATTATTTTGAAATAATAAATTTTTTACTGATAAATAAAGTTGTCATTTTACATAACTAAAGGGCTTCTATAAAGTTCCTTTTACTCACTTGTGATCAATTTATTTCAATCGTTTACATTTATTTATTGGATGATTGCAAACTCGCTTTTGTTTATTTGCGAAACAATTTAAGTAGCTTGTCTAACGATCACAACAATACTACAGTATTTCCAATTAACCTTTGGACGATACGATACTTCACTATTTTAGCAACGTTAGTCCTAATTTTGCTTGCTTGCTCACTAAAGCAAATAAAATGCGGCCTTTTATCAAAGTTTCATAATTGTTACCTTTTACCAAGACACTAACTACACTTGTTGCTTTTATCCAAGCGCTTCAAACAAAGAAAATAGAAACAACGGTTTTATTTTTATTTTTATTTTTATTTTTATTTTTATTTATTAGATTAGATTAATTTTATTTCATAAAATAATGATTCTATCACAGAGTTTTATTTTATTAGAATGTTAATCACCTATTATGTTCCTAATTTTATTTACACAGTAATTATAAAAAGTTTTTGCGTAAAATTTTCGTTTGATAATAATCTTCCAAGTATGATTTTATCTAACCCGATCATATTGATATTAATGTAGTAAATGAGTGTGTGTATGGGAACTGGATTTGTATTCAGTAAAAGAAAAATTTAGCACAACTGATGAAATGTAGAAATAAAAAATTGAAGAGAATGTATATTTATATGTGAGCTTTTTTTTATTTATTAGCAATTTTGCTTATCAAGGTTTTACTTATGTAATTTTTGACTTAACGGCTGTGAATTTGACGTAATAATTTTACAACAAGATGTCATATTAAAGTATATGTGAATTTTTACCATTATTTTCAGAATAAAATTACAATCATATGATTTCAGATAATAGATATGACATTTTTCTACGAAGGGATTTTTAATTATTCGCAAATTAAAAAAATTTAAGCTATTTTGTAAACCTTTGGTTCCGGGAACTAATTTGCCAATTAGCGGACTAAAACCCAACGTTTCGGCGGCAATGGAAAAAGGAATCAATCGTCTATATAGTGCTTTCTAAATATCAATCTTCACCTAATATTTTATCCGAATGGCAGAGGGGAATGAAGTGAACGGGAAGCTGAGCGGAGACAATAACAAAAACCATTACGAGGAAAAATGAAGGGAGTTGGCTGAAGATTATCAACAAGTAGTTTCGCCCAAAGTAAAAGCCAAAATGCAGGTTTATTTTGCCGAACACCCGGAAAGCTTTATTTATTCCAGTTATTTGATAATATTTGCTTTTTATCAGACAGGGCTTCAACCCTGCAACGTATAATGTTTGAACTCCATCATCACTGGTTCAAACGATCGTACTGGTATATTACAAAGAACCCACAGACATAATAAGGTAACCAGCCTCTTAATGAGAAGATCCCTTTTCAAGCATGATTCTCGAGCCTAGAATGCCTTCATTGGTAAATATTTTCACTGTCCCTTTCGCAATCGTTTTGAGCCTTTACATCTGGGTTCTTTACCCAAAACCCCTTGCATTCCACTTAACAGGCCTATAATTGTAATAGTAATATATATTTAAGTTCTTTGCTTATCCCTTAAACTAATTAATAAATTCCGTATTTTTTATTGGACACGAGATTCAAATTTAAATGTAGTAGTAGCACAAAAAATCAATCTTTCCGCTTCTGCACGTTTGTGCACGTGTGTGAAGCACAAATGTTATGCTTCGAGAACGCGTGTACCTTTTTTCTGTTTTATCATAAAATCAATCATGGCCGTTTGTAAAGGAAAAAAATTTGAGCCCGACATTAAAAAAGCAATTGGGCCACCATAAAATAAGTCTTGTAAGGACCGAGTGAGTATTTTTTGTTGAGTTATTATGTACCTGAAGTTACTCTGCTACTAGGGTTTAAAAGAAATGAAATTGAAAGCCTCCGTGGCCATAACTTGTGACAGTTACCAGTTAGGTAACCAGACCTAATATATGGTGGACGACCTGATTATGAAGGTTCTTTCTTTCATCAGAAAAGCCGCTGGCTGGAGTGTCAGGGCCTGTAGCGAATAGGATATATGAAAAAATTTAAAAGCACATCATGGTCGTAACTTGTTGGACAACTTGTTATGAACGTTTATTTTGCTTCTTGATAATGATGAAACAAAACTTATTTTTTTATATTTTATTATTTTCTAGACATTTCGGGATGGAGGAATTGACTTAATAGGAGCGTTTGTTTATGAGGGTGAAAGATATGTCCTAGTTGTCCAATGCAAAGTAATCATGTTATTTAATATGAATATATATATTATTAAATATATTATTAATGTTTTTTTTTTAATTTATAGCACTGCAAAACCTTCCCTATAGCTGTTCGCGAATTAAAAGGTGTAATGGCTGTATACCCATATTATACCTCAATTGGTATATTAGTCATTAATTCCGAACACCAAATAAGTAATCAAATGAGAACAGAAGCTAAGTTGGCATCATATAATATCATCGTATCAGATGAAAATAGCATATATGATGACCTAATTGGCTTCCTTAAAGATCTACGAAATAAAAAAGCTCTCAGACATTTAAAAGAAAAAGAGGCTTTGAGGGAAGAGGTGAGAGAAGAGATAGAAAAAGAGATAGAAAAAGAAGTGAGAATAAAGTATATTAATTTTTTTTTTGTTCCAATAGTAATATTTTTTTTCCTCCAGACCTCCAATCTCTAGAGGACTACCATTTAGAATACATGCTTTTAAAAAAAATAGATCTTCTGATTCTTTAGTTGGTGAAGAAGAAGATTTTAGAGACAATAATTTTAAAGAATATGACAACGATTCTGAAGTTGTTGAAGGAGTTGAACGTTAATTTAAATCAAAACAATATTTATTTTTTAATTATCATCATTTTATTATTTTAATATTTTCTTTATTATTATTATTATTATCATATTTTTTTTTTTTATATATAAATATATTTTTATAAAATTAATTGGACAGATTTAATTTATTATATTTCTGGTGTATGAAAATCCGTAAAACAATTCCTATTATCCTTGAAACATAGTAATGGTAATAGTGGAACTTTACAGTACATAAACTACAGATTTTAGGTTAAAAATAAAATAAGATACTTGTACCTATTTGGATTCATGTAGACTAAAATTACAAATAAAATTGATGTTCCAATTCTTGATATTGTCTAGGTTAATATCTGCTTTTGACTACATTCACTGTTTTGTTCGCGTCAGAGACTGCAACAACATTATTCCACAGCTACGTATCGAAGTATGATTAATAAAATAAGAAGACTCAGTAAAGCACCAATGGCCAAATGTGGAGGACGTACCCAGAAAACGTGCACCCAATTCAGTGGACATACCCAACAAGGATTGCAAGAGCCTGGCAAAAAAGCCCCATCTATGTTGTTTCACTGAGCCGAGCACTTATCAAAACTCATCTGGTATTGTAAAATCAACTTACCATCTTCCTATTCGAAAGCTTTTGTGTATAGTTGAGAAGTTCTAAAGAAGCCTTTTGATCGTTATTTATTGTTTGTAAAGTCTTATCAATGTTTGGTGAGATGATGAATCTTTATGAAATTGTTATTGTCAATTGCCCAGATAACAAAATATTGGAGCGATCAGATCTCATAAGAATAAATCTCAAAATATCTGGTCTGGGAAAGTTTTCACGTCTTGATCTTTCTAATGGAATGACATCTGATGTCTGTAAAGAAAGGGACTGAATAAGGCCGGCCATATAATAATAATGCAGATACGGATTCTGTCTTAGATTTTATAACGTATTAGAGATTGCAAAATTATGTTCCTTAAGGCTCTTAATTAGGTTTACAATTGCTTTAAGTTCATCTTTTGTCAAAAGAAGAAAGGTATTATTGTCATATCCCATTACAAAAAAATTGTCGCAAAAAATAATTGGTCGATCATTTCTGACCAATATCTTATCAAAAAATTTTTTCTTCCTGATATAATAATTATTGTAATGTCTATATACCCACTTTACAAGGATCTATTTCCACCAACTGGTGTCGAGGAAGTTGTTTGTGCTTCTTTTACTTCGCCTACTGACATTAATTTAATAGTTGCACGTTCATCGATCTTACAAATATATAGATTTGTTGAGCAAGCTGAAGTTACAAAAGAGGAAGAAACAGCCATGGAAGAGGATGTTAACTTGGTAAATGTGTTTGGTAAAGATGATGATCAGGTAGGCTGGAGACTTTTAATTGATGAATAATATTTTTCAAAAAGGATATATATATAATGATTTTTTTTAATTCAAGTCTTTATATTATCAAAATATATTTGAATGAAATGAGAAAATTCATCAAGTTAATATTTAAATATATTTAGTGTAAAATTATTTTAATAGAAGTTTATTTATTTATTTTGAAAATATATACATGATATTATATATGTAATGTTTTCTTTATTTTTCTGTGATAAAAAATTAACTACATGTACAAAATAAAAATATTATGACATACAGAATTTCATATTTCCTACACTCAAACCAGCTGCAAATCTTTTGTACATGACTGCTCGCCTTGAATTAATTATTCAATATAAGCTCCATGGAAATATAACATCTATGGGTGTTGTTCAAACGATTTCATCTGGTGCAAATGGTATGGATAGTCTATTAATAAGTTTCAAGGATGCAAAGGTTTGTAGTCTTTAAAGAAAAATCAAAATTAACAAATAACTATATGTATATATAACAAGAGATGACAATAATTTTCATGTTTTGATAGTTATCACTTTTGGAGTTTTCTTTGGCAACAAATAGTATTGTCACAGTATCAATCCACTATTATGAACGTGAGGAATTCAAGGTATTAAACTATTGAGGGTGGGTGGGTTGTGATTTGAATTTACTTGATTTTTCATGATCAAAGATGATTGTAACATGTACACAAAAATACAAAATATTTTAGTTGGAATTTCTTTCAAATCCATTTCCTACCAAAGTCAAAGTTGATTCATCAAGTAGTTGTGCAGTTTTACATTTTTATGGTGATAAGCTGGCAATCTTGCCATTCCGTCAAGAAGCTTTGAATTTAGATGAAGAAGATGCTGCAATGTAAATATTATTTTTAATTTAATAACCAATTTATTTATAAAGTGGTACAAATAGTAACAAAATCATTTTATTTTTCTGAAAATTTGAAAAGCAAGTGGCCATATGTACCAAGTTTTGTTGTTGAATTGTCATCAATACAGTCAAAAATTAAAAATATTATAGACATGAATTTTTTGAATGATTATTATGAACCAACTTTGGCAATACTTTTTGAACCTTGCCAAACTTGGCCCGGGTAAGAGAGATTTTTTAAATAGTTTAATAATATTGTAATAAATAATTTATCGGCTTATTATATTATTAATAAAAAAACTTTTTATTTTAGGAAATTAAATTCACAAAAAGACACTTGTTCTCTTATTGTCATATCACTTGATATTGCACAGAAAAAATATCCAATAATATATTCAATGGACAACTTGCCACATTCTTGTGTAAAGACAGTTCCAGTTCCAAAACCTATAGGCGGTATACTTATAATAACAGCTAATGCATTAATTCATGTAATTAAAAATTCACCAGGAATAGGTGTTTCTGTTAATGGTTATGCATCATCAACAACAGATTTTCCGCTTGATAGTTCATTTGAGCATTTGGGGATTACCTTAGAAGGCTGTAAACATGTCTTTTTGACAACTGACGAAATATTACTTGCTTTAAGAAATGGTGATTTATACCTTGCAAAGTTAATAAAGGATGGAAGATCAGTCTCAAAAATTAGTTTGGAAAAGGTTGGCAATGATACATTGCCATCATGCGCATGTTACATTACAGATGGATATTTTTTCCTAGGTTCAAGACTTGGAGATTCTCATCTGATTCAATATAAAACACTAAAGATTGAACCAAAATCCAATGGTGTTGTAAATGGCTTTGGTTATCAGTCAAGAAGGAATACATTAGATTTTGAAACAGGTAAATACTAAGTGATGGAAAATTTATTTGTTTTACATAAAATCAAAAATAATTTAATGATTTGGTAAATAATTAATTATTGTAATATATTATAGAATTATATAATACTGATGTTATAAATAACACAATTAAAAATGATGACATTAGTAAAAATTCAAAATCTTCAACAAAAAAAGATTATATATTCACTTTGTGTGATACTCTTCTTAATGTTGGTCCAATTGTGGGCATGACATATGGTGAACTAGTATTTTCTGAAGTAATAAAAATATTTTTTCATATTTATCTGGACATTATAGGTTATAAACTTATTTAATAAAGTTATTATTATTTCAATAATATTGTAGGAAAAATCTCACATGCATAATATTAAAAAAGACTTGGAACTAGTGACTTGTTCTGGATATGGAAAAGGAGGGTCAATTTGCGTTTTTCATGTAATATTGGAAATTATATATTTTTTATCAAGATCACATTACAATGAAATACATTAGTATAAAACATATTGAAAGATATACAAGTGTATTTATTCACAAATATATTATTATTACAGCATAATATAAATCCTGTTGTTTTTAGTTCTTTTGCTATGGATGGCTGTTTAAATATGTGGGCTATATCAAGTATTGATCCTATATTTGCAGGGATTCCTATGGACACTCCAGGTTTACCAAATCATTTGCCTAGTATAGATTCTGAACAGTCATATGACAAATATCTTTTTATTTCTAAAAGCTTCAAGACAATGGTAATAAAAAAAATTTTTTTTGGCAAAATATTATATTAAATTTTTAGTAAGAACACTCAAATTATTTTTACCTTTTCATTTTGAATTATCGACTTTCTCTATTTTAATAGGTTTTGGCTTGTGGCGAAGAGTTACAAGAGCTTGAGCATTCTGATTTTTATACAGAAGGACCCACTATAGAAGTTGGCTCATTATTAAATAATTCATTAATTTTACAAGTTCATCCATATGGTCTTAAACTTCTTAATTCTGGTATGATATATTTAAGAACAAGCCTTTGTTATAAAATAAATGATAATATATATATATATTGTGATGTTATTTCTTTATCACTTATTTCTCATTTTTATTTATTCTAGACAGTAAACAAATAATCTCAATTGATAAAGATCCTGGAAATGGATTGATTGTTTTTGCAAGCATCGTGGATCCATATATATTGTTATTATATGATACTGGAATTGTAGATTTGATGAAGATAGATAATGACACAAAAGAAATCAATAGTTGTGAACTGCCATCGCATATTAATGTAATTTTAAAGATTATTTATATATTCTAAAAAAAATCTAACATTTTTCCTGTTGCTATTTTATAGGAGCTTCCAATAGCCAATTGCTGTATATTCTATGATGAGTCAGATCTTTTTGCACTGGTTAAAGATGTTGAACCACTTAAAAAATTTAATGAATTCAATAACTTTACCAAAAAAAATAAACCAAGTACATCAATGCCAATTGATGATGAATTAGATGAACTTTTTAATGAGTCTAAAAGTAATGACGATGATTTATTAGAAGCTAATGATGAAATGGTTGATGATGATTTATTACAGGTTGTTGGTGAAGTAAATGAAGAGAATGTGAGTGGAGTTGTTAAGAATACTAAAAGTGAAAGTTATTGGTGTGTGATATATCGACAAGATGGCTCTTTGGAGGTATTTTTATATGACTATTTCTAGAATATGTACATACACGTTATAACTATGTTCTTATATTAATAATATTTACGTTAATAGATTTATAAACTTCCCGAATTACAAGAAGTATTTCATTTTCCACATTTTGATATGACCCCAACTGTTCTTGCGGGATTTTTTACACGACAAAATATAAAGACACCAGGAAAAACGGCTGATATTCAAGAAATTTTATTAAAGAATCTTGGATTACACAAAAAGGACACATATCTTATAGTAATGATGTTCTTTTTAGAGTATGTTTATTATACACAATGTTTATTGATCATTATTTAAATAATATATATATATATATGTATGTATGTATGTATATGTATATTTGATTTTAGGCTCGGACCAGTGTCGGTGATATTATAATATATAAAGCATTTCGATATATTCCTGGCTCTGATATATTTGATCCTTTCCAAAAATCACAATCGCAAGGTGAATTATCCGATCACCTTGCAATAAGATTTTCACGAGTATCTCACGAGTACATTTCAAGAGAATCTATATACAGCGACATTCATGACAAACCTGTATCAAGTAAAAATAATCAACAAGATATTAATGAAATTGAAGAAGAACAAATAAAAAACAATTTAGAGTCACGTAAAGAACAACTTAGATTAAATAAACGAAGATTGATACCATTCTCAAACATTGCTGGATTTACAGGGGTATTTGTAACCGGTGCTAAACCTGTTTGGATAATTTGTGCCAATAATAATTTTTTGAGATTGCATCCGATGAATGCTGATGGGGAAATAAAAAGTTTTACCCCATTCCACAATGTTCATTGCAAAAATGGATTTTTATATACTAATAATGAGGTATTTATTAAATGATAATATGTGTATTTTTTTGGAATTAATGAATCTTGTAAATGTATTTATTATATATTATATATGGGAATTAGGATGACTGTAGGTTTTCTGAATTATCTAAAGAATTTTTATATGACATGGAATGGCCAGTAAGGAAAATCTCGCTTGGGAGATCGGTTCATGGTATTGAATATCATCCTGAAATGCAAGTATATGCACTAATGACATCTACACCAATTGAATTTCATATGAAAGATGAGAATGGGGTTCCAACAGATGTTGATGGGGGTAACTGATTATTACTTATTGCCATCATTTTAAAAAAAAAGAACTTTAATTTCTACGTATATTTTATATCTAATGAATCGAGTGATATTCATATAAACAGATAGTTCACAATTTTTGCCAGAGACGCAAAATTTTACACTAGAGTTAATATCCCCAATCACATGGGAAACTGTGGACAAGTATGTAATCATCCTTTAAAAAGTATAAAATTAACTAAAATGACTGTATATTTATATAACTTTATTATTTATAGACATGATTTTCAAGAAGATGAACAAGGTCTTTGTATAAAATGTGTTAGTCTTCAAACAAAATCAACCTCCAGTGGCAGAAAACCTTTTATAGCTGTTGGCACAGGATTTTTCCGTGGGGAAGATGTGGGAATGAGAGGAAATGTAAGTCTATATATTTATATATTTATATATTATTCAAGTATATACAAATTAATCAAATTTTTCTTCAACATTTGAATTATTTGATTTAGATATATGTATTTGAAATTATTGAAGTTGTGCCGGAACCTGATAATCCTCAAACAAATCATAAATTTAAATTACTTTGTGCTGAAGAAGTTAAAGGCTCTGTAACTACTATTTGTGATGTAAATGGATATTTATTAACATGTGTTGGGCCAAAGGTATTGAAATACATATTCTCTATTTTAAAAAAAAAAAATTCAAAAATCCAAGTTAAAGATATTTACTTTTTTGATGTTTTAAAGATATTTATACGTGCCTTTGAAGATAATGATTGTCTTATTAGTGTCGCATTTATTGATATACAACTATATGCAAGTAATGTAGTATCAATTAAAGATTTTATACTATTGGGAGATGTATATAAAAGTGTATGGTTTCTTGGGTTTCAGGTATGAGTTTATTGACGATTGAAAATTTTATTAACACCAAAATTTTATGTTAAATAATTATATTTTTCTTTATAGGAAGAACCAGCAAAATTGGTTTTAGTTGGCAAAGATTATAATTCTTTGGAAGTTAGTTGTTTAAGTTTTTTGATAGATGAGCCTGCACTATATTTTGTTGTAGCTGATATGGATAAAAATATTCATATGTTTCAATATGCTCCATATAGTAAGTTAGTTTTAATTTCTTTCTTTAAAAAAAATCTTTTACCCAACATATATATATTTGTAAAAAAAATTATCAAAATATATATAAATAATAAAAAAAATAAAATAATTGTTTGGAAAATTTTTAAAGATGTGCAATCTTTTGCTGGTCAAAAACTTATCCGCCGCGGTGATTTCCATGTTGGATCCCAAGTGAAAACAATGCTCACGTTACCTAAAAAAGAAGTTATACGTAAAGATCATGACTTTGATTTAGAATTTTCGTCCAAGACTTCAGAAGAAACCGGTAGAAACAAACAACTTTGTTTATGTGGTAAATAAGAAAAAAAAATTTGATAAAATAAGTAATAATAATTAAATAATAATAATATTTTTTTATTAAAAAAATTCATGTTAGGAACACTTGATGGAAGTATTGGAATGATCACGCCGATAACTGAAAAAACTTATAAACGAATGCAACTTTTATATTCTCAAATGGTTAATGGAATACAACATCCAGCAGGCTTAAATCCAAAATCATTTAGGTATTATTTTTTTGTTTTTGGTTTTTTTAATAGAAAATTTAAATTTATTGTTAATTTTTGAATTAGATTACTACAATCAAAAATGCGATTAGCAATTAATCCATCAAAAGGAATATTGGACGGTGACCTCTTATTCCAATTTCCCAATCTTGCCTTACATAGGCAACGTGAGATGACAAAACAAATCGGTACAACGGTTGAAAGAATAATGGATGACTTGTTGGCAATTCAAGAATCTTATAATTATTTTTAAATAAATAAATAATAAATTATTTATTTTCTCGATATGAAGAATTTTCTCCATATGGAAATGAAATGATAATATTCCAAAACTATGCATTTCTAAATATAAATACTGCAATTATAACTTTTCGTATATAATACAATTATTTATATAATTACAATTTTTTTTTAATTTGATAGATTAACGAATCCCATTATGTTTCCAAAACAATATGAAAAAAACTTCTAATAATTATAAGATTAAAATTGTTGATTGAATTAATAATTATTTACATCTGACATTGATGATTTTTATTTGCCAAAGAATGAAAGTTAACCTCAGCAATGAAAAATTATAGGAAATGGGTGGAGACTCTTCAATTTATTCGTTATTTGAATAGCCCTGTTAAAGCTTCTTCTATATTCAAGCAATTGCCCCCATAATCACCACGAGGCAGATGATCTCTGGCACAGGAAAAAATAGGATGAGTTAATATAGTTAATTACAAAAATTAAAGCCATCAGGATTATTACTTGAGAGATGCAACTAATAATAACATCAAATACATTGCGTAATCATCATGAATATTGTAATAGACACAAAAATTTGTCTTGGATGTGTATTATGAGTTTATTTAAATAATAAGCAGAAACAAATTATAAAGTCATTAAATCATGATCACGTTATATATTGGTGATGGCTAAATTTTTGACCACTGAAATCTTTGTGACATAATGTTCGCTTTGTTGCAGCATACACCATATTCGAATATACCTAGCATCTGCCTCAGTAGCAAAATCGCACTGTTCCAAAAGTTTTCGATTGTTTCTATCTTGGAGAGGGATTTTTAGACTCTTCTTCGCCGGCCCTATAAAAATAACATACGGAAAAACAATACTGTATTAGTTTTAGTATTAGTATTGTTTTCTGTACATTTTCCGTCGATAATTTTTTGTAGTTATCGATATTTGTGGTGGATCTTTAATGCCTTTTATGAATAAGTCAAAGTCAAGGTTTTTTTATAGATTTGAGAGGTTCTAATAACCACAATAACCTTCCCATATGGGAGCGACAACCAATTATAGTAGTATTGATCTTACCAAACTAAGTAACTAATCTGTAGATTTTTACTTAATTTGGTAAGATCAATTACTGCCCGTATTAGTTTTAACTTTAATTTTATTACAGCCTCTCAACATTTTCTTTTACCACAGCCTTTAATTAGTTCAAAATATTATTTATTAACAAATATACATCTTTATTTTTTGCCATAGCCTCCAAGAAAAAAATATTTGTATTATACGGGAAATCACATATGTACAAATAAGGAGATAAATTTATATTGTTTTAGAACAGATAAATTTTTATTCCGGCTCAACCAGCAAAACTGAGGGATATAAACGAGGCTTGGATGCCCAACCAAAATTGAAATAATGCAAAAGTGGCTTGGGTACGAAATTCCTTTTGGTTAGTATATTCACTTGATGATCATAACCATTTAGGAATTATACTCTTAAAACAAATTTAGAATTTCTTGTTAAAGAGTATGTTAAATATATATATACGTAGATAGGGATACAATTTTAAGATTTATTAAAAATGGTAAGACATCTGATACACAACAATCTTTTGGGTTAAAAATTTCCTTCCAATTTATTCATCATCACAGATATTATTTATCAATCCCATTTTTGATCTGGATGTGATTTATAATTATTATAAGCTTCATAATTGAAAAATGACAATTCTGTTTCATTCTCTTTTATAATAAAAATTTTCATTAAAATAAAAAAATATAATTCTTTAGATAATAAATATAATAAACAAGTATATTCACTCACCAATATCATAAGAAATCAAAGTTTCATTCTCATTGTTTAATAACCATTCATCATGATCTGTATTTATAACTAAATTTTGATTCTAAATATAATTACAAATATAAATGTCACTATAGCTACAACTATAATTATCATAATTATCATAATTAGTTAATTACTTTGAATCCATGAGCTTTTGTATAAATCTTTAAAGTGTCTTTATTTTTATAAAAAAAAAATATATAAAAAAAACAAAAATTATCAATTATTTAAATTCTAAAATAAAACTAGAATTTAATATATTTTGTTTAATTCAATACCATAAATCACGTTACGGAAAGGAGCAAATTTGGATGTAGTATTAATTTCTATAAAAAAAATAAATAGAATAATAAATAGTTGAAAAAAAGGGTTTTTTGAAAAATAAGTAAAAAAAATAAATACTTTCGATTAAGATTTTTTTTAATTGAGAAACTGTTGTAGTTTCTAAATTTATATTTGATAAAACGATACTTTTAACAGTTCGATATTCAAAATTTTTTATCACTCTAATAGTTAAAGTGGAAGAAGTTGTTGGATTAAGTTTGTTGGTTAAGGGATCATTTGTTGACATTTTCTCGATAATTTTTTCAGTAGAAAAATGGTATTTTTTATTTATTTTGATTTTATTGGATAAATCGAATTAAAAAAAAAAAAAATTAAAAAACGCCATTTTTTCTGTATCAATTAATTCAATTAAAAATTATATAAAAATGTAAAAAAAAAGATGGAAGAATTCAAACTTCGTACTAAAAATCAAGAATTTCAGAAAAAAGAATATAGTAATATGATTGAAAAGTTGAACCTTCGCGTTTCAGATTCAAATAAACAACGATTGGAAGAATTACAAATTGTTCAAAATGACAACAAGCAACTCTTGACAAAATTGAACAACATTGAGAAACAAAACAAAAAGCTTGAAGACAAATGTTTGAAGTATCAGCAAGAAAAAAACCAAGCAGAAGTAACCAAAAGATTATTGATAAATGAAAGCAATAGAAGAAAAATTGATAATATTCAATTAAAAGACGAAGTTACAAGGTTGGAGAATTGCAAGACAACTTTAGATTTAAATTTCAAAGTATTAGATTCAATCAATAGACAATTATTGAGAGATAATGCCATTTTTGAATCTCAATGCAACACTTATGAAAATATAATTGAGGGGCTTGAGGAAACAAATGGAGAGCTAATAAACGAAAATGATAATCAAAGGTGCAAACTTAATGATCAAGACATATCTTCCTTACAAAATTTTTCGAATCAGTTATTAGGAAATATTTCATGTTTGGAAAAAGAACTTCACAATAAGAATAAAACTGTTGAAGGATACATTTCAAAATTAGAAAACCAAAAAAAAGAAATATCAAGTTTAAAAAGTTTATATAGTGGTGAAGTGGGAAAATTAAAGGCAGATTTGGTTAAAGAGAGGGAGACATGTGATTTATTTATTAATAGAACAAGTAGATATGTAGAAATCATAAAAGTATTAGCAATGAAGATTGAAGATTTGAAAAAACTTCGTGAAAAAGATCAAAAAGATAACATGAATCAAATTATCAAGTGTAAAGTATGTTTTGAGGAACCTATAACACATTCTTTTTCACCATGTAATCACTTTGTTACATGTGAAAATTGTTCTAGTATGATTGATAAGTGTGTTGTGTGTCGAGTTCAGGTGGAGAGCACTTTCAGGATCTATCTTACTTGAATTTTAAAATTTTATTTTATATTTTGATATGTTTTTCGATAGTTAATGGTAGCAATAATGCTAGTAGCAAGAGTGTAAGAGGTAATAGTGTTAAAATGTATATAATTAATTGAAATTGGGAGAATTAAGAGGAATGTCAAGTTTATCATTAAAAATTAAAAAAACTAATACATATATTATTAAAGTATTAAATTTCTGACAATGTTTTTATTATTTTGATAAAATGGTAAGGTCCTCTCCAGTTATCAATTAAGACACTTAAAGAATCCCTGTCATAAAAATCAATGTTTTGGACAAAATGTATATCTTCTAAACATCTTGGTAATGACTGATTCAAAGTTGTTATTATTTTATCACCATCAAATATATATTTCCAATGGGGTGCTTTTAATCTAATATATTGTAACTTATCACAATTTTTGAATATTTCTAATAACCATTTATCTAACTCATTATTATAAAAGATGGATAACCTTTCAAGATTTTGACAATATTGACTGATTGATTGAAATAATTCTCCTAAACAATCTTTATCTTCTGGATCACCATTAATATGCAAAGTTTTTAAATTCTTTCCATTGACTTTAATAAACTCTGACATGTTTGATAGAAATGACTGATAAGTGATATATAAATCTACTGTCTCAATACTTGGAAATGAAATTGATTTGATAGATTCTAAAACTTCTGTTTCATCATTGGACAACTCTAATTTTAAAATCTTTAAATTGCGAAATGTTCCTATTAAAGAATCCAAACCAGTTTCTCCTCGACCTTCATAATGAACTATTGATTGTGAATGGATCGATAATGCTTCTTTTAAATTGTCTGATAAAATTGGATTATCATAGCCACCATGTAGGATTAACTTTTTGATTCGCTTTTGAGCTTTAATTAATTGTATTAATCCATAACTGGATTTCTCATTAAATGAGCAGAAATATATTCTCAAAGTTTGAATATTTTTACAAGTATTAGCTAATCTATGGAAAAATTTATATTTATTTGAATGATCGCAGGTTATTTCACCAAGTTTCTGGAACCACATATCAAATCCATGATGGCTAACCAACCAATTGCAATTATTTTCAAATATTGCAAATCCTCTAATGATTGAGTATTCTAAAACAAATTCTAGTAATCTTTTTCTCAAACATTGATTTGTGTCTATTATCTCATCTAATGCATCGTTAAAATTTTGGTCAAAATCCAAATAAGTAGCAAACATACCATAATTGTGCATTGGTGGTTTATCCAGTAATAAACCAAGAGGTAATTCAATGCAGTTTATTCTGAAAAAATCCTTATCTTGTGCAAATAAACAATTAATTAATATTTTGATGCTGTCTTTACAATAAAATGGTTCTCTCCATAATTTTGGAATGCTAGCATAGTGCCATTGTTTATTAACTAAAGCGCATGAATATAATGTCCCATGATCACCTTCAATGCAATTGGATATTTCGTCTAAAAGCTCGAATGGTAAAGTTGCTTGTAACATTTTTTTTTTTTTCTTTTTAAGAAATTTAATACTCAAGTGAAGAATTTTACTTCAATTTAAATTAAATTTTTCGGATGTATTGTTTTATTTTTACATTATTATGAATAAATTTCATAACGATTATTTCATAGTTATGTAAGCAAACAATACTGGCGAACACTAACTAACCCAATTATTATATCCTTATTCATCTGACGTCACAACATTTGGTAAATAATACTGATCATCAAAGTTTAATATAAAAATGAATCATAGTTTTTTTATATCATGGGACGAAAAATTGACTACCATTTACTATTACTAATACAATGAAATTTTACCGGATCAACGACATTATAAATTTAAAAAATTTGCCAAGCGTTTAAAAGCATTATTAATTATATTTGTGCTAAAAACTAAGGTCACACAACATTATAATGCAGGTGAGAGACCGTCGAATTTGAAAAATATAGTAATAGTGGTGATAATATTAAAAGAGGATGGAACATTGACAACCGCAAAATAATAATACAAAAATCATATGGTTTTCTATGAGTTTATTAAACATCGTTTACACTATCTACGACTCAAGATCACCACGAAGAAAAAGGTCCAGAGAAATTAATTCCCCACCGAAACTAAATCGTCAGAAGATAAAGAAGTCAGTAATTTTATGGATTTGCGACATAAAGAAAGGATTGGTATGGGAAATTGCATTTCATGCAGTACATTTTTTTTTTTTTTTTTTTTTTAAGAAAAATCACTTCGGCATTACTATATACTTTATGAAAATTAAATGTTTACAGATAATCCATTTCCATCGTCACTGTTAATATCACTATTATCAACATTATCAACATTGTCATCACTATCATCAACAGTATCATCATTATTGTCATCATCACTATCATCAATATCTTCACCTACATTTGTAACTTTACTTATCTTTGGAGGTTTCGATTTATTATATTAAAATATATATAAACTAATTTAAAAACATGATCATTTGTCAATTTATTTTATTTTTTATTATGTATATAAGAAAACGTAGACCAATTCCTTTCTACTGCAGTTGATGGGGTAGGAATAGAAAGAACTCTTACCGCAACTTTTGTCGATTCAGGTGCCACAGTTCCAAAATTATCTTTCCACCATATTAATAAATAAATCCACATTATTAGTAGATATCCCACTATGAGATTTATATAAAATTTAATTTCTGCATTTTCTGTATGTAACATTGCATGATTTGAAAAAAAATCATGCGCATTGCATTTTTTTTCATGCGCATGGAACATCTCTAGTAATATGATAAGGGAAAAGAAGCTTCGAGCTCAAGAGGTACTCTTAACTTCTCAGGATACTCCTCCATTATTCCCCATGAGCAGAATAATAACCAATCAAAATCTCGGCACTAATGTACTGAATTGGAGCAAACATCCATTCATCAGAATGAGAACCAGAGCACACAAAGTGCCATTTCTTTCAAAATAAAAATTCCGTATGATCAAAAAGTAGAGCAAGGTTTAAGACATGAGTTATCTGTTTGTATTAAAGAAAATGATAACGAAATTAATGCATCTTGTGCTTGAATTACACCCAATGATTCATTTGATATCCAAATTCCTGAATTCTCTTTTGAAGCGATTCTAGTGGGATCTAGTAGAGTTACAGCACAAAATATAGCCAATTTATTTAATATAGCAATGAAGGTTAGGCAAAAGGAAATTTTCTGCTGGTGTTGTTACTATATAGCATATGAGGATAGAATCAGGAATATTATATCTATGAATAAAATTGATGGAAAATCTATAAAGACATTGGTATATAATGAAATCAAATCGCTTCTACCTGACATTATTGATGTAAACTTGCGTAAAATAACTTTCAGGGCTAAAAAAATCTATATTTTGTTTGAAGGAATAGGAATAGATAAAATTAACCAAGTAGTTTACAGTACAAGAGCTATTTCGATATTCAAATTCAAAATATTATAAACGATTTTTCCCAAGAAGTTGACTAATATGATCAATGTGACTGGTCCATCCGAGTTGAAAGCCGAAATGGGCGAGGAAGCCAAGAAAACATTACCGAGAACTGATGTAAATGAGGAAGTTAAAGAAAACTTTACCAGAAGCTGAGGGAAGTATATCATCTTCGGATAAAAAAGCAAATGTTAGTAAACCACCCTCATCTCGACCTCCAATTACTACCACCTTACCCGATGATCCAGAAGAAAAATGAAATTTGAGCATTTTCTTTATTTATATAGTGATGAACATGGCGATTATTTTTGATTGCCCAGAAATATGTCCAGCATGTAATGAAGAGCATAAAGAACGGTAATGTAAAAGGTCAGTGGGTGATAATGAATATTTCGGAAAAAAAAATTATCATCTCGAATGTTGGGGATATAATCAGAGAGGAATCCCAATAGTAACTGTGAAATCTTAATTCATATACATGTATATATAATGACCAGAAAATCAAATCATAAATAAATTACTCATTCTTTGCTATTATTTGTAATCCATAATGAATTAATCAGGGATGGATTTCGTCAATTTCTCTGAGAAATTATTAAATGTGGAAATAAAAGAATCCAAATCATTATCTCATATTGATCCAGTTATATATATAAGTGGAGGGGTTCATCAACTGATTCAGAGTCCAGACCATTCGTAAGATTCTTCAAAATTCATGATATGAATATTTAAGTTAAGCTCATTTATAAATTTTTTACTAATATTTTCACAACTCTCCAAATCGCGATATTTTAAATTTGAACATGAATGAGCAATTTTTCCGATAGTTTCATTAGAAATATTACAAAAACCAAGTTTGAGATGTTTGAGTTTAGGACAAGAGCGAATAACATTACAAATCAATGGTTCAGTAATAAATTCACAACCTCTAAGATCAAGATATTCTAATTTATAACATGTACAAGCTACCGCTTCAATAACCTCATCATCAATATCGTTATGAGAAATATTGAAATGTTTTAAATTTGGACAAGATCTGACAATGGCTAGAATATACTTGTATATGGGAGGGACGTCATCTGAGAAAATCAGTCAATTTTTTTTTTTGACATTTTGAGAAAAAGGGGTTTTCAAAACTTTTTATTAGTAATTTCGATATTTGTAATTTTTTTAAAAAAAAAATTGACTGATTTTCTCAGATGAAGTCCCATATATTGAAAAACATCATACCGCTAAATTAGGATACTCTATATTGTAACATGTTTGCATTGACATTTTAGCAATATTAATTTCACCATGACTGTACGCAATTTCAAGGCATCGTAATTTTGGGCATAGGTTCATGATACAACTTGTAGATTTATCAGTGATCCAATATGCTTCAGCGAAATATAATTCTTTCAAATTATGGCATGGCTCTGCAATTTTAATCAAGGATTATCTGTCTGTAATTTCCTTTCAACAAGAAATGTTCAGATATTCTAATTTATGACCTGGCAATCACACATAGAGATTTATCAGTTATTACTCATCGACCATCCCATAAATTGAGTGTATAATTCGGCTATCGTAATTAGTGCTTCATCACTAAATCCTGAACTACTTTCGAAATCTAAATGGATTATGTTCGAGCATGAATTTACAATACCTCTGATTTTTTTATCTGAAAGTGAATGGTGATATGTAGTTTTAAAATGCAAACTATAAATTGGCTTTTTCTTTCCACATATTATATCTAAGAATTTATTCAATCTAGTGCGATTCTCTTCACAATAATTATAATCATTTGGATCTATATCAAAACTAAAAAATATAAGATCTGTTCTATATAGTAACTCTGGTAAATTAAAAAATATAAGCTGTAGCATTACTAAGTAATCTATAACTGAATTAACCTAATGTTTAATTATGGTTATTTTGCTAATTCACTGCATTTCATTTGCCCATAGTTTATGGCGTTTTTATTATAATAGTATATTTTATTTCTGGGTTTTTCCTACAATCATTATGCCCTAGTCGAAAATTGGTTGTCGGATATTAGTATATCATTGAATAGGCTTCAGGGCACTAAAATTGAATATAAGTATTTTTTATATATTTGAATAGAATCTATATAATATTAATCAATGGAGATTTCTTCAAAAGCCTTATCCGGACATTATATATCATACACTATATAGATTATGGGATTTGCTAGACAGTGCCGGATCAATCTCGAAATCCCTCATCAAAGAGGAAAATTTTTGTCTGCAAAAAAACAATCTAATCTGATTGATTCTATCTGTAAGAATTATTACATTTGCTGGAATGGAGGCAGGAGACGGGATTATCTATAATTGCGTTGATGTAAGGCAAGGATTGTCTTCTCTAAGAAACTTCTTTTCCAACAAAATTCCTTGGCATAATTCTGAAGGAGAAAAAATATATTTTAATGATCTTAGTAACAAGAGTTCTAATCGCTCACTCTTGAATGCTTCATATACAAGAACCTGGAATCTAGTGACGAATTGGAGATTTTAGAATATTACAGAAAGATAGCTCATCATTGTAATATTGTACTTGAGGAATTTGCCAAATGTTTCAGAGCAATCAAAAAATACAATGCATTGCATTTTATAGTTCTAGCACATTTGAACCAATAGAATACAATACATTAGCTAATCCTGAAAATGGTTGAAATCTTAATGAATATTAAGTAGAATCAATTTGTTTAATTAAGCACGTAAATGCACTCATTTTTTGAGTAAAATTTACTAGTCCATTAATTTTTTTCAAAGATTCGAAGGTATTCCACTGGTGCCAATACCAATAGTCTAGCTGCACATTTCTGCCAACATCGAATTTATTTCTGTGATCTGGGAATCAAAAAGGATTATAATTACTATTCTTAAGGTTCGCAATAACGTTGGAAAAAAGAATATAATTTGACCAATAATATATACTAACATTAAAAATTTTGAAACTTCTATTATAACAAAATTAAATTTTATCGATCAATTGATTTAACTGACCAACTGATTATAACAATTCGTAAAAAATTTGTTACACGGCATTTTTGGTTCCTAATAAATCGTTGACTACTAATAGATTTGACCCTATTAAACCATCAACCTTTTTATGTATATAATAATTTGACCCCCAGATTGATTCTCATATTACTTATCCCTATGGTTGGTTTATTGATTATAGAGATCTCAAAAGCTTTACAGAAAAAGTAATCGAATTGGTAGGAAAACCTTAATCAAAGTTCATTGATGTCGGCCTTCCCAAATCGCGTTTCAATCTTCGATTATATGGATCTGTAAAAGGAGGTAGAATCAAAAAAACTGCGATTTCTTCAGTCAAGAATGGATTTCACGAGACAGAGGATTATTTAGTTCAGCCTAAATCGAATTATTCTGAAATTTGGTCATGAACCTTTTCTTCTGAAATGCCAATAGAGGAGAAATCCCAACCTATCAAAGATGAAAATACCTTGGTTAAGGTGCTAATTTAGTTGCTGAAAAATATGAAAGGCTTGATATCGGAAAAGGGATGGTAAATTTTCAATCGTAATCATTTATAGAATGTCCATATGTGAAATCAAGCATAAAAAGGATCAGTTTTATGGTTTTTTTCTAAGATGGTCGCTTTATACTAAAATGCTATCGACAAAAACAATATAAGCCAGACCACAATGGATTGATATTAGGCGTAGCATTAAGAGTAGTTGAGCCACTTAAACAAAGTATTGCCAAAAGAATAGCCAATGCTGTATCAAATCCATGTCCACTTCCTGAATTATCTGGAGAAATTATTAACGTGAAGGAGATAGAAGATGCATCAGAAGCTTATCCAGATTTCTTGAGCAAAAAATCCAGTACAACTCTTATCCGCTCCCCTATGATGACAGGAAAAACAAAATGTCCAGGAATGGTTATTGATTCAATTGACTAAAATTGATGTAAATGTATTTAAGGCTTTGAACGAATTAATGAAGTTCGAACCAAATCGAATCAAATCGAATCATCCAATTTTTGATTCGAACTGATTCAAATATATAATTTGATTATAACTGATTCAATTCGATTTGATTTGAACTGATTTGAATATATAATTTGATTCATAAATTTATTAATGAATTGTGCAACTGTAAATTGTCATTATTGTCAATATAATGCTGGCCGAAACTACCTTTACTTGATGGCCGAAATTGCCGGAATTAATTGGCCTAAACTTTGGCGAAACTAATTTTAATGGCAGAATGTTTATTAAATATTGATACATAAAAAACAATTATTTGTTTGAGCGAAGGAATAAGAACAGATAACAAAATTTTAACCCATGCAATTGTTGATTGACCAATCAAAATTGTGAATTTTGATAACGTAAAAATAAATGTTGTTTGATTCATTTAGTCAACAATCACTTCATCAACAGTTGTTTTGTTAACAAATGGTTCGAATTTAATAAGTTGGAAGCAACCACGCAACAAACCTTTGAAATGGTCTAATAAATTGAATTGTACTACTCAAAAATGTATTTAAAGGGTTGGTTTTCGACTTGGTTGAAGAATAACTCTCTTCCTGACTCTTCTCTTGACCATATCTCTTGATATAATCAAAATAACCTTAATATAATGAATGTCGACAAAATGGTTGTAAACACAACTAATTAAGTTATACGATTAAGACAAGACATGAATGATGTATGAAAAAAACCAACAAATTTATTTAATAAAAACAAAATTCACAACCTGTTTTTTTTTGCATGTTATAATAAAATCTCCATTATTTATGCATCATCAACTGTATTTTTGGTATTTTTGATATTTTCAATATTTTCGATAAACTCATTTTCATTTAATCTTTTCGTCATACTTTCTTTTAGTGCGTTGACATTTTTTTTTGATTTCAACTTGAAGATATCAAACATTTAGATCGGCACCTTTGTAGACAATGATTGTTATAACCATGTCCACACGTGAATATATACACTACAATTATTCAAATTAGTATTAGTATAGTTAGTGTAATCACAATATATGTAATTGCAAAAAATGTTTGTAGATGGTTTCCTAGAAGTAACAAAGCCTCTTGGAAGGTGACGATCGGTTATTTTGTAAACTAAAGAATGCAATTAACACCATTAGATGAAGTTTTAGTAATCAAAGGATACTGATTTCGTGCTCGATATAGTGGTAGTACCTACCGAATCTAAATAGAGTGCAAGGTCAAACTTAAAAGAGTTAATTTTTGCATTATTTAAAATGAAGCAAGAAAATAACATATGAACACCATTAATCGCTTCATATGGTACATTGTTTGTTCATTACGTTCAAATGGCCGAGCTGCTAAATAGAGTTGGTCAAAAAGCCCCTTCAAGCTTGGTTCTATTTCTTGGAACAATCTTCGTATTCATCAAAATTGTGTATATAGGATTTTCTTATTTGAACATTCTCTTTCATAAAAGATTTTGGTCATCATCTTTATGTTTGTTTTATCAGCGTTTTCAGTTGTTACATTTATTTTCTGGTTTTTTTTTTTTGATCTTATTTCATGTTTGTTTTCAGTTGAAATCTTTTTATTGTTGATATTAGTAACGGTAACATCTAATCATTATAATCAGGATCTTTTACCACTTCTACCTGTTGCTTCCGTTGTTGCTGTTCATAAATGGAGGAAGACAACATCAAACATGTTTATGAAGAGAAAGTTGACAAAGAAGAAAATAGTGCCGAAGACATCCATGAAGAATTTGTTGTAGTTGATATGATAACAATGATAATAATAAACTGTGAAATAACCTTGATTCTATACTCTTCAATCTTTTAGTGATGGACATTGATGTGTATGTCGAGTTTGATTGTTTGGTGAACTACCAACTAATAGATAATATGAGAGGATATTAAAATATTATTCTACTTGCAGCAAAAAACCTATTTTAATTCCGGCATCAAAAAAAAAGATACCACAAACGAATATACACAACCTTTAATTATAAAACATCTTCTTGAATTCTAAATAACCAAATTTTCTCATTTAGCTGAAACACCACCTCGCCAGAGACTGTTTCATTAGTTTTTGTGGCGATTTTTACCAATCTGATCATGAATAGAATCGATGACATTTTTGATGATGATAAAAAAATTTACAGGTAATAAAAATAATAAAAGGATCTGATTCATTTCGTCGACAATCACTTCATCGACAATTATTTCGTCGACAATCATTTCGTCGAAAGTTCATTTTGTCGAAAGTTCATTTCATCGAAAGTTCATTTTGTCGAAAGTTCATTTTGTCGAAAGTTCATTTTGTCGAAAGTTCATTTTGTCGAAAGTTTGTTTCGTCGAGAGTTCATTTCGTCGAAAATTATTTCGTCGACAGTTCATTTCGTCGACAGTTCATTTCTACAACAATTCATGTTAATTTGTATGTATTACCAATTATGTTTGGGAGAGCGTGAATTAATTGATGATAACAATTGTTTGTTATGTTTATGTGGAGTAGATTTACTAACATATTAAATGTTTATTTATTTTATTTAGTCGAAACTAATTAAAGGTTTAGAGCTATGTTAACACAAAATTTTAATCCATGTAATCATTGATTGACCAATCAAAATCGTGAATTTGATAACGTAAAAATAAATGA